TGTTCTGTTGGTTTGAGCTTTCCAACTTCTTCTTCCTCTTTCTTCTCTTCTTGCTTGAGCTCTCCTCAGTCTTCTTAGGGCGACGAAGACCTTTGATCCTCCGAGCTTCCTCTTCATCATCGTCAGCAGCTTCTGTGGTCTCCTCAGTCTCGCGCTTCCTCTTCTCCTCTTTCTCAATCTTCCTCATGGCTCGAACTTCACGGGATTCATCACCACTTGAAGTACCTTCATCTTGGTATGTTGCTGCCATCTCACCTGCTGCCTTGGGCGACTCCACATCGTTCTCATCTGGTGGTTCCGTCGGCTCATACTCATTCTCTTCATCCAGATCGATGGGGTCCTGCGGCTTTGAGAGGTCTAGGAAACCTTGCTGTCCATTCTTCGGTAGGAGACTGCCTTCATCCTCCAACATCAATTCTTGTTCTTCTGCAATGGCTCTTCTCATGTTGTGTGGATGTGCCAAAATGGGTGTGCCTCTATGGATAATCCAGTATCCATGCAAATCTCTCCCGATCACCCGTGCTGGTCCATGCCACTGCTTGTAAGCCTTGTGCTTAAGTCCTTTCCTTTTGTACATCACCAGCGAGTGCATGTCAAAAGGACCTGGTTGCTGTCGGGTTTGAGAAAGTAGGGCACGACGAAGAGATGCGGAATGATTTGCTTTCACAAAAGCATGTTCACAATCTTGAAGTAGTTTCATCCGCTGTGCCATGGCAAAATGATCATCGTGATCTGTTTTCGGAATACCTCTACTGTCACCCATGATCTCCGGCAAATTTGGTTGAAATCCCAAAACACATTGAGCTGGCGAAAATCCACGATGATTGGACAGCCTGTTGATGGCCTGCACACAATTCACCACAGCAACTCTCGTCAGTATGGCACCTTTGATTTCACTGTCGTGAGCCACCTTCATCATCATCTCCTTCACAGTGAGAATCTTTCGCTCCACAACACCATGACTCCAATGTGCATCTCTTGCCACCAAGATCTCCTCGATGCCAAAGCGATCTAGCAAATCACGGAAATCGCCTCTCAGCGACCCATCTTGATCGACTTGGACTCGATCCGGACTTCCGAAGACTTCCATCCAGTCAACAAGCGACTTGCGGCATTGCGAGGATTGCGGCTTCTTTGGTCGACCTGGAGTCTCACCTGAGCACAAATAAGAAGCAAGAGTGTATGATGTTGCCATGTCCACCATGAGCAGGAAGGAGTGCATCACATCATCTTGATCAGGGATGTGAGCAATGTCCATGGCCACACATTGATTGAAGTGATCATACTTAGGAATTGCGGCCATCGGTCGCGCTGGGCTTCTTCTCTCCTTCTCGCATGTAGGACAGGTGAACAAGGATGCTGCCTTGATTGCTTGATCTGATGCGCCTGATAGCCTCAAATGTCGGCTGAAGTTCTCCTTGTAGAGAGAGTGGGAATACTGTCGATGCACCTTGGTGATTGCGCTTCTGAGAAGCACGGGAACTTCTTCCCAGGTCTGAAGGTCTTCTTCTTCCCGTTGTTGAAACATCACATCTGAGCTTCTCTGAAGTGCATTGTGGTACACATCTTCTTCTTCAAGATAGTACTTGACTTCTCCACACTTCTCCTCCAAAAGAACTTGTCGCTGAATGCCTTCTAGAATCATGACACCTAGTTGGGGTGTCCACTGTCCCAGCATGGAGGAAATATTCTTGCCATCTTTCACCCCACGACCTTGAACTTGTGCATGTTCGTGATCTCCTGTGCATCTCAATGTCAGCATTGAAGCCAAAACTGGAGAGGATGTGACAAAGCGTGTCGGCTTCAAAACAAAGTCTCCATTGATGTCTTTCAGATCACTTGCACACTGGTCCATGCGGGATGTGTAATGCGGCACATGTTCAATCTTTTCCAACAAAATCTTCCATGCCTGACTTGCCAATGGGTTCTCCAACAAATAGTGTCTTCCTTCAGAAATGTGAAGTTCGCAAACCTGCCTCACAAAGTCCAGATGATCGAGGGCAATCTCTTGTTGTACCCTTCGAGTGTCTTCATCCAGAAAATTGCTGAGGGGCGTCCAGGGATCACAATTGAAACCCATCGTGACAAGACTTGGCTTCTCAACCTTGATCTCTGCCAAGATCCAATCACGATCTTCTTTCTTCAAGAAGTTGTCTCCCAGCAAAAGATCACGCGGTCGTCCCACGGGCATCTCATTGTCCTTTGCTAAGGCGGTCACAACTCCACCATCTTCACCACTGTAGAGCTCCTTCACGATCACCCTTTTCGCATGGGAACGATTTCCCCTTCGGAGTTCTTTCCACAGTGCTCTGCCGTGCTCTTTTGCCTCTTCTGCCATCTTTTGAACTTTTCTTCTCAACTTTCCTTTCATAATCCTGATGGTCTCCACGTTGAAGTCCTTGGCTTTCAATTGATGAAAAACCTCCACCGTTTCTCCTGCCAGCCGTGTAGACTTCTTGTTTCGTCCACCTTGTCCGATGTTCAGCAACAAATGTCCACCTGTTCCATAGTCCATCTCCACCTTCTCTGAACCAATGGTTGTGAACTGGATGGTAGGCTTGGGTGTTGCTGTAAGGTCAATCACCGCTCCCAATTCCCTGAGCTGAGGTAACCCAAGGAGCAACGGAACATCTGAATTGGGAAGGCGATGCAAAGCCACTCTGCCCTTCTGACCTGCAAGGTGAATGTCAATCCATTGCTGGTGATGAACCATCACCGGGGCATCTGCATTCACTCCTTTCAACACCTTGTTGGACTCCTGCAGCTTTGTCTCACTTCCGAACCGTTCAACAAACTTGTCCAGAGTACGATCACCTCCGCAACCGATCAATGCTGCCGTGTCCACCACACATCTGCCTGCGGGAACTGCTCCACTGCTGGTGTTGTTCATGAATGTCAAACTGTGCGGAATTGCTTCTGCCTCATGGTTCTGGGTCACGTAGGCATCAACTTCGCTCAACACTTCACCATAGTCCTCCAACTTCGGAATCACCTCATGGTCTTCCTCCAGGTGAAATGCTGAGTCATAGCATTCATCCACCATCAATCCAACACATGACAATGCTTCGTGGCGTGACTGAAGCAACTGCCCTGATGCTGATGCCAACATTGCTGCTGCCATCCCTGCTCGCTGTAGAAAGCCACCTTTCCTGCCGCCCTTCTTTCCATGTCCCTTCTTGCCACCTTTTGAGCTCGGTGACCCAGGACTCTTGGGGCAACTTCGATCTCCTCGCCAGTGACCTTTCTGACCACAATCGTAACATTGTGCGCGAGCCTTCACCTGTTGGATCTTGTCTTGAAGCTGTCCTGCATTGAGTGTCAACTTGCCATCTAATGCAACCGATGTCTTGTTGTGACCAATTGCACTGGACTGCGGCTGAAAACCACGGTTGGTCTTCCCGTCTCTCACGGCCTGTCTCTTCCTGGCATATTCGGAAGCACCTTTGCCCATCTTTTGGATGGTGGCCGCGAAAACGTCCAGTTCCTCATTGGTGAGGTCCTCAACTGCCATGATCTCGACTGCATGCTCCATCTCTTCAATGTCATGTTGAATGTCCTCCTCAACCTCATAGATCGGGATGTCATCATCCGTTGGCTCTTCTCCATACCATTCATCAATGGCATAGGCCTCTTCTGTCTCTCCATCATAGCTTGACCACTCTTCTTCGATGGGAAAGGCCCAAGAAGCTCGCTTTCCGGCGCCATAGTTGTTCTGTGAGCGGGACTTGTAGCTTCCTTTCCATCCTTTGCCTGTCATCTCATCTCCTCCGTCAAGCTGGATGAGCATGGCCTCCACGATCTTGTCCCAATCATATTCATTTCCAGCCTGACCCAAAATGGCTCTGCGCTGGCTTGGGTTCACACCTGCATTCCTCAAAAGGAAAAAGGCCTGGAGGTCCATGGAGAGCTTTGTGTGACCTTGTGTAAGTCCTGTCAGCTTCTCATACTCGCTCTCTCTTCTGCTGATGTAGTCCTGGATGCTCTCTCCCAAGCGGCGCCGTCCCTTGTCGAAGAAGTAATCTTCAAAGGTCTGAGTCTTCAACAATGGAGCGACCTTTTCACATGCAGCTCTGACCGTCTTCACCACCAGCTGAACCGCTGCCTTGGGACCTGCATTGGCGCTCGTCTCGGCCTCGCTGAGCTGGAGGAGCTTCTGGGCCGCGATCTCCGGCTTGCGATGACAGAGGGTCCAAGCTCTTCCAAATAGAGCGTTCTTCAACTTCGCTGCATAGCTGACCTTGTCATCTTTGGCGACCGTCTGAAATCCTAACCAGACTCTCTCCTCATATTCTTCAGCCAGCTTCGGGCTTCCATCGTAGTGGACCACATTGGACTTGGGGTCAACAAAAAGTGACTGTCCTGAAGAGCTCGACATCCTCAAAACTCAAATAAAATCCGTGCAACGTGAAACTTGAGCTTCCAATCAAAATTGCGCAATGAATTCCCAACCGGCAACTACCAAGGGAATATCCCACCAAATACTCGAGAAACGGATTCCGGTATTAAAGTGTTCCAAATCGCCCTGGCCAGCCCAAGAACAAAGCCTGCTCTGTACGACAAAGCAATGTCCAATTCCAAGCTCAACCGCAGGGGTCAAAGTGACCAGCACCAACAGCACCGATCTCTATGGCGCGCCCGACCGTGAGCTCTTAGGCTCCGCCTACCAGTGTCAAGTCCTAAACGAACCCTTGGCAGACACTTTTGCGTCCGCCTCGAAGCTCAAGGCCTTGGTCATGGCCTGGTGTCGATCTCATGTCCTGCATGGACATGTCAAGCTCCTAACATGTACCAACTCGCAATGACCGACATGTCCTGCTCAGAACCTTCATGACTCAAGCTTACCGTCTTCACAATATATATTGTCTATAAGGTGAGGGTTTGGCGAAGAACGCTTGCCTTGCACCTTGAGAAGATAGAGAGAGAGAGAGAGAGAAAAAAAAAAGAAGGAACAAGAGTCAACTGCACAAATGACTCAAATGACAGGCGCTGGCACACTCGGCCTGAGAAGGTTTCAAGTACTCTGGCTGCCTTGGCAACTGAACCCAACACTTGAGCGGCTTGAGGTTTGAGGGCTCCACATCACCACTTTCTGCAATTGGGAGATACCTGGGACGCTGCAAGGTATCTTGGCGCTAGCTAGCCATCCCAAGTGTCCGTGCTGTCTCAAGCGGCGCACTCAAAAAAAATGCAAAAGCAAGTCGCCAGCATCAACTCCTTGGTCGCATGCCTCTGGTCAGTAAGACATAGTAAGACACCAAGTTCAGGATTTCGAGCTCAAGCCCTAAGTATTCCTCCCCGCCAGGATTGCTGTTCTACATCCCCTGGGCTTCACCCTCCCAAGACACGACGAAATCAAACCTGCAGGAGAGCCAGCCTTCGCTGCGTTTGCTGCGTGAGAGTCTCACCAATGTGCCTCAACCAAAAAGCGCCCAAGTAAAACCCTCTTGGCCAGCATGAAATGTATTGAAACTCACGCCAAGGCATATCGGTTGTAATCGAGTCGAGCTGCTGCAAATCAGCTTTGTGATCTTGCAGAAAAATAAGCGCGTCCACCATCTGCAGCACTTCAGTAAACAGTTATTCAGATTCAGAATATTCAGACTTCAGAAAACAGTTCGGCAGAACACTGGACCTCTGCAGTCGGCTGTGAAAGGCGGTCGCACAAAAGATTCTGCCTCAGTCAGATTTGAGCTGTTGTCTCCCAACACCCTTACATTGTCTTCTTTGAGCAGCCAACCGAATGTGGAGGCGGTCGGTGTGACCACAGGCGATCTGCATGTATCTTCAAAACTGATGAAAAGAACAAACATGGTATGTCTGTTTGTTCGGGGAAGAAAGTATGTATATATATAAAGACTTGTCAGCATCCTTTTCTAGTTCGCTCTGCAGCAGATTTGTCACAAAAATGGTAAACAATTAGGAGAAAACATACAAAACAGAAGACCAGGTTGGTTACCCCCCCCTTCTTTGGTCCACTACACAAAGAAGGGGACGTACCCGGGTAAGGTCCCCCCAGCCAGGCGGGCCAAACCCCAGTCCCTGGCCAGGTCCTGCGGAACTTAAAATGCGACCCTTTTTACGCTCCTCACGAGCTTCTGGAAGGTCGTTTGAGGGATTTTCTCCCTTTGTTTCCTGGTCTACCCAAATGAGGGTGGGAGAGGCGGGAAAGCCAAACACTACGGAACCATACAAGGTTGCGACTAGTCTTTACCCCCGGGGGCGGGGAACCAAAGACTTGTCAGCATCCTTTTCTAGTTCGCTCTGCAGCAGATTTGTCACAAAAATGGTAAACAATTAGGAGCAAACATACAAAACAGAAGACCAGGTTGGCCTTCTTTGGTCCACTACACAAAGAAGGGGACGTACCCGGGTAACCTTGTCCCCCGCAGCCAGGCGGGCCAAACCCTAGTCCCTGGCCAGGTCCTGGGGAACTTAAAATGCGACCCTTTTTACGCTCCTCACGAGCTTCTGGAAGGTCGTTTGAGGGATTTTCTCCCTTTGTTTCCACGTCCCCCGAGCCGCCGATTTCCGGCGGACGGCCTGCTGCTTGGCAGCGGCTCAAGTGTTTTGAAGGACTTGGGGGTCGAATTCTGAAAAAAAGTACGGTACGGTGTCAAGAAGGTCTGAAAAGGACCTATCTGCATCTCGGTTAAGACCGCTCTAGATTTGTTCAGATAGAGACGGGCCGTTTTTTGGGCCTGCCACCTTCCTAAAAGCATGACCCTATCAAGGTTCCCATGCTGGCAGAACCACCATGTGGCCCCTCCTCTTCGGAGAGAGTACGGTCTAAGGTCCAGAGGTTCAAGGTGCAAGGCTTCTACGCAATTCTTAAAAAGTTTGCGCCATCGGGGCGCAGGTGGACAGAGCCGTTGGTGAGCGGTAGCAAGTGACATCCAGTGTTGCAAAAACCGAAAAGCGGTGTCGTGTCCGACCGTCACACTCTCCTGGGCTCCAGCCCTTTTACCAGCCTTTGCCAGGCCCAGGCTGACAACGGCAACACGAAGGGTCTCCGAAACATCGTTTCGGCTCTTAGTAACATCTAGCAATTCGCCAGTGCGTAGAATGCTATAGAAACAGAGCAACAAACTGGTTGCGAAGGAGAAATGCTGATGATACAAGCTCCAGCCCACCATGGCTTGGAGGATAACTTCTGGCATAGGCGGCGCCCTGTTTGGCAGCTCATGGGTGACCCACGTTTTCACCAGGCGCCAAGCCCCAGGGAGTTGACCCCGAATCTTCGCGTCAAAATCCTGTAGTGACGCCAGGGTGTCGGCGGCCAGTCCACGCCCCTCCCCGGTACGCCAGAGGTGTTCTATGTATTCCATGGCTAAGGGGTCTAAGCAACTACGACGGGTTGGTAACTCCATCCTTCCTCTTTGAGAAAGGACAAAAACCGATTCAAAGCACGATCGTATCGAACACGTGTGGCTGGTTGGACAGTGAGGCCCCTGAGACTTCCTAACCTTTGCCTTTCTTTCGCTCTACTGGCTTGGGTAGCCCCCTCAAATACGGCCTTTGGCATGTTTAAATTTGGTCTTGACTGACCACCGCGACGGCTTATCCGCCGGGTTCAGGTCAGTGTGCACGTAGCCCCAAAGGGCACTGAGGTTGTGTGCCAATAGAAGCGAATTGATTCGGCAAAGGGTCCTGCGCAAACGTCGTCGAAGACAGGCTAGAATAGCCCTCAGCTCCAATGAGTTGATGTGCTCCCCTGGGGAGCGCCATCTCCAGCCCGACACGACTTTCCAGCGCCACATCTTGGCGTTGACTGTGTGACGCAAGCGCTGATAGCTCTGAATCTCATCTTGTGATGCTGTTAACATGAGGTCTGACCCTTTGGTGGAGACCAACCGTCCGAGTTGCTGCACCAGGGCCTCCTGAGGAGCCCCGCTAGCACGCTGTTCAGTCTGCAAAGGTGGGCGCATCAAGCGTGACTGGATGTAGGGATTACCCTCCAGGGTGAGCCGCGATAGAATCTCGCCTGGGGTTAGCCGGGGACCCGCCCCCCGGGGTCCAACCAACTGTCCAAGTAACCAACTCACTACTGGTACTGCCCAGGCATTCCCAACCAGTGTCAGCCGCTTGTCATTGCAATCCACGTGCTTCCTCATAGATTTGGGCATGCACATTTGAGTGTACCCCACTGGGAGGCCCATCATGTACTCTCGTTCACGGATGTTTGGGAGTCGGTGTTCACCACGTTTGTTGGTCAGGCAATTTCTAGGTATATACTAGTATGGTGGGAACCGATGAAGGTCCGCCTCCCACCTGATGATAGTGCTTTTGTCACAGGCATCCAGGCCCGCAGGGCGATGTCCCCGAGCAGTACGTGGTCTTGATGTGGTGAAAGTAGGGAACGGCCTGTTCTCATCCACCTTCATCCAGCCAGCTTCAACTGAGCCCGACCAGGGTTGATGCCCCGTTAGGATCACACGCCTGTCAATGATGTCCACGTCTTCTCCGCGCGGGTCGAGCTCCCAGCTGATCCAATATAGTCTCGGTCGACTACACCAACAAAGGTGCCCAGCATCGATCTCCCAGGGCTGATCCCCGAACGACTCCGACATAACCTTCCTGTCACGCTCGTCCATGGAGGCGACGCTTTCCATCAAACAATGCACTTGTCCCCATGGGAAAAAACGCTGTACCATCTCTCGCAATCGTTTGACGTGCACGAACAATGATGACCGCTCGTCCCGCAGTGCCCCCTTTCGTTGACTATTGAGTCCTGAGACTCCTTGACACGGGGGGCCCGCTCCGATCAAAATCAGAGAGGCCTGCCCAAAGCGCAATGACCAACGCTGCACATCCTCCTCGGTGAGCTTCGCGACGTCTTCGTAATGCCAACTGTCAGGGAAGTGGTGCTCCACCACTCTTCGGGCTTCCTTGTCCTTCTCCACACTGATATGACCTATCACATCACAACCCAACAGGTCCAAGGCCACCCTAAGGCAACCGATCCCATCGAAGAGCCCAATGCTCAACATACGCTGTCCTCCCGTTGCCACCATCTCGCGGCGTTCCTCACCCAGGGCCACTTTCTCCCCGTAGGTAGTGAGGCTAGTGGCTACACAAACACCTCCACCTTGTTGTGACGCGTCACTGCACGTAACCTTGGGGTTCAGGCTCAGGCGGAAATCCATGCGACATAGAGGTATCTCCAACTTGACATGGCTTGGGATGACCTGCTTGTGACGACCACAGGTGTTGAACGACTCAATGAAAGCCCAGCAGAGGTTCAAACCTCCGAGAAGCTGCCTCCGGAAAGTAGAGAAGTAAACCAGGCCACCACAGACCACCTGCATTTGCCTCTGTGAGCAGTGGGTCTCGTTCACGAGCTGATGGGCGATGGTGATGTACTTCGACAACTTTTGCCCTTTTGGGTAGGCGATTCCCCTGACCCCATCTAATACTGCCCCCTGTACTTCTGCAACCGCCTTTCGGCTCACGGCTTTCCCAGGATGACGGGGGAGTCCCCAGGCTTGGTACTCCTGTCTCAGGGCGAGCACCTCCGGGGCAACCTCGGTATCTAGGTCTCCCAACACCTCGTGGGGATACTTCTCCAGCAAGTCATAGTTGTCAAGATAGACGCGCCAGATCGCTTTACCCTCCGGCAGGATCCTGTCCTTCCGTATTTCATGGGCCGAAGTATCTCGTGCATGGTTGTGAGCCTGTGATCGCAAAGATAATACCCTGTGCACGTGCTGAGCGATCCCCACGCTGTTCAGGAAACCCATGGGCAACACCTTTGAGCAGGGATAGCAAGCTTGTCCCCGAAATTCCGGCGGCACCAACTCATCCGGGAGTTATTGTTGAAGCACAAGTACGGGTACCAGCAACTAGGCAGTCGCAGGGTGTAAAAGAAACACCGGAGATCTTCACTTGATACCACGACTGACTCATGTGGCTCGATGTGAAAGGGGGTCATCCCAAACCAGTGGGGCAGGGTTGTAATATCCCCGTGCAGCCCCTGACACAGGCCATTGAGCGGCACTAGATTCATAATTAGCCGGTAAACCGGAATGCCGTCAGACTCCTCCTGTTTCTCCACTCCAAAAAGTCCGTTTAGTAAGGCTTTGCCCCGGACGCGGAAAACCTCCGATTCAGGGAGGACCCCGAAAATCCCTGCGTCAAGCAGTCCTTTTGCTACCTCGGTCCAGTCCCTGTCTGCTACCATAACTCTTGCCTTGCGGAGCGGCCCCCATTCATGAGAGGGCTTGAGAAATTCCGGAAAATGTTCGATGTAATACTTGCACCCTTGCTCACAAATATCTCTCAACTCCACCACACCGATCTCACGAGGTATGGCGGGTTTGATGTTCTTCCACATGAATTGTTGTGCTGTCTTGACCTCATCACCTTTATAGTCTATGGTCCGAGTTCTGAAAAACGAGCTCCATTCAAAGTCCTGTGTCACCTCATCAATCCCTCCCAGCCGAGTCACGTCCCGAGCGATCGACCGGAGGACGCGGGTGTGCACCTCCGACACCGTTCCATGCACCAAGTCGGGCGATCCATCCTGCAGTGGAGCGGTTGGACAACCCCAAAGTGAATTCAGTCCCATGCAAACTGCTTGTACCCAATCGATAACCCATGGCTCAGCGGCGTCGAGAACGAGGACGATCTGGGAACGAAGGGTCGGCAACGGGAAGGTATCCTTGCCCTCAAGAGGTTTAAGTTTCTCCCCCTTTGCCGTGGTCTGGCTGCAGAGCGACGAAACCCTCCGAAAACCGGCGACCAGATCCTCCCCCATCTCCCAAAGCCTCTTGCCACACAGTCCTTTTCCCGACTCAGAGCGTCGAGCAGGGCTTTGCCCCGAAAGGTCTTCGCCCTGTGCCTGGCCGTCCATCATCGACCCAGGTGCCGCACCCATCAAAGGCGCGCTCGGAGAACTGTTTGGGGGCAGGGGAGGGAATGGTACATCCTCCACTTCTGCCCCATCAGGGTGCCCCCCCCCCGATTCGTAGTGCCTGATGCTGGAGCGGAATCCCCAGCTAGGTCAGTCGCCTGCCTTTTCATATGGGCGCCAATGACCTCATCGTTCATAGCCATCTCCTGTACAGGGTCCACCCCCCGACCATCCAGGGCAGCTGCTGTAGATGTTGTACTGCTCCTCTGATGTTCCAGGGCCTTTCCCCGTTCGTCCTGATCCTTGCCTCTGCCAGGGCCCTCCCGCCCCGTTCCGATGTTGTTTATACTGCCTCTGCTGAGCGAGCCGCTTGCTGTTACTAATCCTTCTTGGGCTTTGCTTTCCCCTTTTTTCCTTTTCCCTTTGCGCCATCTTCCTTTTCGGCTTTGCCGCCCTTTCCTTTGCCCCAGTCTTTCCAGCTCCCCACCTGATGGGCCTTCACTTCGGCGCGGTGCTCCGCTGCTGCGATCGAGAGCTCCTGCCTCGACGATAGGCTGGCCCCATCTGGGGGCAAAAGTTCCATGCGTTGAGCTGATGTCCATGCAAGGCCATTGGCCTGGGCTTCTAGTGACTTCAGCCGCTGAGTCAGGGTGTCCATGGCCCCCGGTATCATACCCTTCAATATTTGATCTCCTATTGTAGATAGCGTCAGAGCTTCCCTGCACATTGGGCCTGACATTTTGCGGGACAGCGTTTGTCTGAAGTATCTGAGTAACGTGGGGCTCCACGATCCATCGCGCTGTCTGTCCTGGCCCAACTCCTGCACTAGCAACTCCTGCATCTGCTCGATTGCCTGTGAGGTCAAAACGCCAGGGAACTGCAATGCGATTGCTCTGATCTTCTGGGACTCGCCGAAGATCTGATCTCCCTTCAGGGCCAGGTCTCCCCCGTCCTCTGAAGACCCCGACTTGCTCTCCTCCTTCTTGTGATGAGATCGTCGAGCGGTTCGCTGAGCCCGGCGACGCTGCTGAGGGTCCATTCCCGACCCTCGAAAGAGCACGTCTTGTGGGACTTCTTTGAACTCCACCGTTGATGAGCTGCTCGTTGAGCTGGATGTACTGACAGGGCTTCTCCCCGCATCTTTCTTTTTCTTCTTCTCTCTTCCTTTCTTTGACTCCTCGCTTCTTGACCGCGGCGTGCGGCTTCTCTTTCGCTTCTTTTTCTTCTTTTTCTTGGTCTTCTTTTTCTCCTTCTCTTCTTTTGCTTTTTTCTCTTTCGCCTCGAGCTCGGCAACGGCTGCTGTCGCACCAGGGCCAGGACCCCCGATACCTTCCATGCGGCTCCTCAGGGCTGCCAACTCGTCGTCGCCCTTTGGGCGTCCCTCCAACAATACGTCTCGCCAGGGGACTCCGGCTAGCTCCTCTAGCGACCGTATGCTCCGGAGATCGCTGCAATGAAGAAGACCTGGACCTTCGGCGGCTCTGGAACACCCCTCCGGGCATAAATGCACGCGTGCTGGTGCAGCGGACCCTGTGGCCCATGTAAGGAGGGGTTCGTGATCTGTACCGTGGAGCTTGACTCCCAAGTGCCTCCCCGATGCGTCCTTGGCGTCGTCGATGATGTGCCCCGTGAAGCGACAAGGGACGCCGTAGTAGTGGGCTCCTTCGGCGATCACTAGGTCTCCCACTGTGGGATCCCACGGCAGGGTCTCCTCGCCCCGTGGTGCTTCCTCCTCCATGTGAGCAGCGGGACGTCGAGCAACTCACCTTCGGTGCCATTTTCCCTTTCCTTTGCCCTTCTGTGGTCTGCCGTGGCTGCTGTACCCCAGGGTCTGGCCCCGGATGATGTGTTTAACTCCTTTCCACTTCTTGGGTCCGTCTTGGCGATACCCTTGGTAACCTGGCGGTGACCTCGACGGTGTTCTTGGCCGCCTGGGTAAAGGCTTCCTTGCAGACGGTTTGGGAGGCACCTTCCGGAGTCCTGCCCCCTCTGGGTCCCTTGCAACCTCGGTGTCCGGGCTGGGCACGTCGTCCTGGGATCCTTCGTTGACCTCCTCGTCCTTCTCCTCTGACTCAACCTCTGCCTCGACTTCGGCCTCCTCGATGGGCTCTTCTTGTTCTGTCTCAACCTCCTTCACTGGCTCTGGAGTCGGCTCCTTCTTGGGCTTCTTGCGCTCGCGTCGTCTGCTCCTGCTTCTCGACTTTGGTTTCTCTTCACGTCTCCGTCTACGAGGCCTGCCTTCCTCTTGTTCCTTCTTCTCCTTCTTTGCTGTTGCAGGTCCTGCTGCTGGATCTCGCACACCAGGGTGAACCCCCGCGGCCAACTTGTCCGGGAGTGCTGGATGGGGCTCCTTCTTCCTCACCTCAACCAGATATCCCTCGATGTCGACCACTCCACTGGTTCGGTCCTCTTCGAAGGCTTCCGAGTCCTCCTCAAGAGTGTGGAGGACCTTTGCCAAGTAGTGAGTTAGTTCCTCCGCCTTCGATGGAGGATACCGATGCAGCACGACCTTCTGGATGCGAGTTGCCAGGTAGCAGGGATTACAACACCCCGAAGTGCCAACGTTAAGCTTCAGCCGCCCGTTGCACCCTTTGCAGGCCATCTAAAGCCAAACACTACGGAACCATACAAGGTTGTGACTAGTCTTTACCCCCGGGGGCGGGGAACCATATATATAACATCCGAAAAAGTCGAGGCCGACTGTGGTGAAGTGAGGTGGAGCTGGATCAAAAGAAGTGGTGAATAACTATGAAGCGAGATGAAATGGTCACGGAAGTATGAAGACAATGAGATGTCAAGACTGCATGTCCACAGGCAGCCATGGAACCTCAAAGACATCCAAGATCTGCGGACAAGCAGACATCGTTGCAATAGAGCCAAGGCCAAAGTATATGATGTTTCAGCCACCACTCTGGTGGGCTCAGCCGCTCCTTGATGCAATGGGTTCTCTTCTCTTCGGGTTCACAACTGCCTTGCCACCACAGGCACAGCGACAACCATTTGAGAACAATGCATTCGAGAATATTTGCGGCAGTTGTACGGTTTTGATTGTCCTTCTCAGAGGTTCTGAGCTGAGCATCGTGGATGAACATAAGCATGATCCTAGGAGAACCGCCAATAGAGAATCGAAAGAACCAGCACATCATCACTGGATTTTGCATCTGGAGGCTTAGGAATGATGTGATTACACATATCCGGAAGCGTGGACTGTCAGCTCAACGTGTTGCAGTACCATCTTGACCTCCAACAAAAATCATGCCCATCAGGATGTAGCTGCTAGTTGCCACCTACCCATCAACGATCCATCTCTGTCATCTGAGGCACAAGGAAACTTGGATGTGCACAAGTCAAGTGCTACATGCAGAAGGTGTTCTTTCATGCCACTCATTGAATCGACGGAATATATAACCAAACTTGTGGCCAAAGCCAAGCGCACAAACGTCGAGAAGTCGAAGACTGCGAAGCCGGAGAAGGGCTTGTTTGAGTCAAGAGAGAGGGGCTGAATTGAGTCTGTCGTCAGTGTGAGAGATATGAGATATGTGCACCACCTCATTGACGGCAGAGCTGGATCACTCGAAACTGTCACTGAGACTGTGGGCCCTTGGCGCCTGGGCGTCTTTTGAACAAATTTATCAGTGGATCAATTTGTTCTTGCAACTGCCGACAGCCATGGTCATGACACATTGATTGGCCGATTGCCGAATATTTGGATTAAAAAGGCTCATAAAGTGGAACAAACCTGCAGGATACTACTCCCGCTCCATAATATCATAAAACCATAAACTACTGTATACAGAGCTTTGCATTGTTGCTTTCCTGCGCAGGACATAGACAAGCAAGTCATGGCAGCATGACACACGACTGAGCTACAGGATACCCTTTCTGAGACCAAGCTGTCATTCGGCCAGTTCTGTTCGGCTCTGCCTTTTGCGTAGCCAGCAGCGTGTTCCCCATGGCACGCTGTTCCAAGATTGCAATGTTTCACAGTTCCGCAGGAGCCATGGCCACCTCTTTCAAATATGGCTCCTAGGCCCTGGACCGATGCAGTTCCCTTCCATTCGCTCTACGTGAGTCAGTCAACTCTACCTTTGATTGCCCCGATGCCCGACGCAGATCCACTCTCTGCATGTTCAGTCAAGTTCATTCACTGGGCAAGGTTCAAGTGAAGCTGAAGCCAACCAAAGCCCCGGAAGCGTGCTGCAATAACGTCGCTTCTATGCTTCAACAGCTTTACAATACAGTAGTTACAGCAAGTCATCAAGCCTTCAGCTGCACATTCTCGGTGCACTAAATCTGAACATGCCCATGCGGTTTTTCCTGAAGCTTCAGGCAGCAAGGATGGTTAGCCTTTGGTTGCCAACATGCTAATCGCAGAATCCCATCCCGCTTTCAGGAATCCAGCGGCGTATCCACCTCAAAAACGGTGCAACACACTAAACCCTCTGCAAAATAGAGAAGCAACTTCTTCCAGTACTCTTGGGCTGAGCAAAAGGATCACCGGATCACCCTTTTAATCTCACAAGCTATGCCCGGCACTCGAGCCCTGGCATGGATGAAAGAAGGAGGTCGCTCAAACATCGAGCGTCCTTGCAGAACTCTGCGTCCAGTCAACACCTCAGGCAAGACTTTTGCTTCAAAATCTTGAGGCAAATGTGGAAATTACATCCACATCCGGTCCCCTTCGTTGCCTCCTTGGTCGTTTTGCCCGTGCATAGGAGGAAGATGTGGAACATCAGCAAAGCAATGACACCTGCAGCGTGCTGTTGCTACAGTCTTCAAACTTTGTGATGGCTATTGGATGCTTTGACACTCAGGCACGTACCCAAAAGGAAGACGGCTGTGGGTACACCAATAAGTAGAAGAAAAACGACAAGAAGGGGGTTCCTGCGCAGCTGGCCTTTTCCGTCCGTTTTCAACTGACTTCAAGGTAGTTGAACCTTATCGTGAATCTGTGTGGTTCCCCTTTTTTGTGAACTCTCTCTGTCCCTCTCGCTCAAAGCATTGATTCGGACGCATGGAAACATATTCAAGAATTCAATGTAGATTTGCGCCTGGTGACACTCTCTTGCGGATGATCCGGCTCATAGCCGGAAAGTGAGATGCCTCACAAAGGACGTGGATGTGAAAAACTCTCCCAAACATGCCAAAGGCCAATGGAATTACACCAGCATAGACCCAGATAGCTAGGCAGAATCCCACGACCCGTTGACATGCGACTGGTTGGAACAAGAATGTACGCCGCCTGTGCAGGCAGCTTACGGCACCTCCACAGCGCGCACAATCGGCTGACACCGGTGCGTTTTGCCAGCTGACAACACCGGCAGCGGCACCAGCACCCGACCAAAACGCGCGCTCAGCCAGCAGCACCCAGGACCACAACACCAGCACCAGCACCGACACCCTTTCAAAAGCGCGCACAGCCAGCCCATTCTTATTTGCAGCAAAAACCACATAGCTATCCCATTTGGGGAATAACAACGTTTGATCTTGCGCGTACAAGTTTATGCGCACAAAAGTATGCGCGCAAACAAAGCCCATAAGTGTCATTGGCCCAAAGCCAAGCAGTATCCAGCACCACTATTGACTTAGTAGCATGCTTGAAACAACGATCTCCAGAACGATAAGGCTGTATGATCTTGCGCATATGAGTTTACGCGCGCAAAGGTGTGCGCACAAATGGCAAAGCCCGTAGGCTTCACTCGCCCAAGGCCAAGCAGTATCCAGCACGACTATTGCGTGTGTAGCATGCTGAAACATGCTGAAGCACGCTGAAACAATGGTCGGTTGAGAGCCTGACGTTGCGCATGGCATAGAACATTGTGCGTACAAAAGTATGCGCGCAAACAGTACAGCCCTTGACACAGCTGTCGGCCAAAACACAACCTGAAGAGTGTAAATACCCCACAGCGCTAATAGTCAAAGAACGCTCAAGCGACAACACTGCATGATGTTGCGCGCATAAGTTCATGCGGCCCACGACTGCTGGCACTTCATTGTCAGAAGCGGCGCTTGGTCGCCCTTCACTGCTGCAAGCGGCCTTCACTGTCAGAAGCGGCGGTTGTTATCACTTCACTGTCAGAAGCGGGCACCAAGCACCGAGCACCGGCACGCCAGCTCACGGCGCCCACCAGCACCAGCACCCGGCACCCATCACCCCGCACCAAGCACCCGGCACCCTGTCTCCACCACACCCAGCTCCGGCAGCACAAGCACCACAGCCAGCACCAGCACCCGGCACCGGTACCCCGCACCGGCAACCTGTCTCGAAAGCGCGCACAGCCAGGAGACAAGGTTGCTGCTGCCCAGCACCCAGCACCACCACCGGCACCAGCAACCTTTCTCCACCACGTGCACAGCCAGCTCCCAGCACCAGCACCAGCACAACACCCGGCACCCGGCACCAGCACCGGCACCAGCAACCTGTCTCCACCGTGTGCACAGCCAGCTCTCAGCACCAGCACCAGCACCGGCACCCGGCACCCCAGCACCAGCACCGGCACCAGCAACCTGTCTCCACCACGTGCACACCCAGCACCAGCACCAGCAACCTTTCTCCACCACGTTGCACAGCCAGCTCACAGCACCAGCACCAGCACCGGCACCGGCACCCGGCACCAGCAACCTGTTTCCACCGCGTGCACAGCCAGCTCGCAGCACCAGCACCGGCCGGTGGTGCCCGGCACCCAGCACTGGCACCAGCAACCTGTCTCCACCACGTGCACAGCCAGCTCACAGCACCAGCACCGGCAGCCGGCACCCAGCACCAGCACCGGCACCAGCAACCTGTTTCCACCGCGTGCACAGCCAGCTCCCAGCACCAGCACCACCACCGACA